TTTTTACTACTATGCATTGTAATGACCATTTGGCATAGTACAAATTACCATGATAATATGTACCATGACAAAAGGTAATCTATATACCACGACAATAAATACAAGTTCCATGTCAAAGTATTATGTATCCCGCCAAAAATTATATGTATGATTCATCCAAATTCCACACAAAAAGTAGAGGCGACAAAAGTTTTTTTTGGTCACCAATGAACATTATATGTCGACTAAAATAATATAATAGCTATAACATGCAATCAACGCCGATTAAATTAATTTTTAGTCGCCAAAAATACTATTTTTTGTAACGCCCTTAAAATAATACATAATACCCATCATTTAGACATGCAGTAATATAAGAAAATCAACACCTTTCCATTCATCAAAGTAGTTCTTATAACAGTATTACATGTTAACAACAAAAGCAAATTCCCTACGGGCTTACAACTTTCTAAGTCAACACTTGGTTACACAAAAGAAGAGTACTAGCTCTATACAAAATAAGCCCTTGGCTTGATATACATGTAATACAAACAAAATAATCAAAAAGAGTCTTCAACTGCCCTCAAAATAATACATAATACCCATCATTTAGACATGCAGTAATATAAGAAAATCAACACCTTTCCATTCATCAGAGTAGTTCTTATAACAGTATTACATGTTAACAACAAAAGCAAATTCCCTACGGGCTTACAACTTTCTAAGTCAACACTTGGTTACACAAAAGAAGAGTACTAGCTCTATACAAAATAAGCCCTTGGCTTGATATACATGTAATACAAACAAAATAATCAAAAAGAGTCTTCAACTCCCATAACCATCCAAGCTATGTCCTTGGAGGTGGCATGCTACCTGTACCTGAAAATAATGTCCCATATAGGGTGAGCCAACGCCCAGAAGAGATATGTTAAACACAATATGAGCAGTAACTAAGACATTAGCAATTGATAAATGTTTAACTCCCATAAATCAATTCATAAACCATTTCCATTACATGACCACTATGTCTACGTTTCATTTCATTTTCTATTTCTTATCAAATTTCCAAATTCATACCCCTGGCTCAGAACCTGGCCACACACTCTAAACGAAATAATAATTCATATTAAACGTTTCCCAGTTCGAAATAGATAAGCATACAAGCCGTATCAACATCTCATCAGATAAGCATATAAGCTACATCATCATCTCAACGGATAAGCATACAAGCTGTATCCACACTTCAACAGATAAGCATATGAGCTATATCAACACATTAACTGACAAGCATATGAACTGTATTAGTGGAGTCCATCCCCTATCTCCTCCCAAACAACATCCGGTTTAGAGGCCCATCCCCTATCTTCCCCTAAACCGTGGAGTACATCCCCTATCTCCTCCCACGCACACAATGTATACACACATAGGTCATATACACAATCAATCAATACATAATGTTAATGTATTCTATCAACCGTCATACTCTATGACACATTCACTTGATTTGTTTTAGTTTGCCTAATCATTATGCATTGTCTACAACAATCAAAACTACCCTCCACCGGTAGCCCAAGCAATTATTTCTAAACAGATAATAAAAGCTCCAACAGATAAAATATCAATGTTTTCACGAGTGAGTGATTAATAAATCCAACTCTACCATTCTACAATATAATGAGCCAATTTCATTATTTCCAAATTAATTATACCAATTAATTTGCACAACAGATTAGGGTTTTCTACCCCATTTCCCAATCGAGATTCAAGAGTCCAAATATCAACCACCAACAACAATATCATTATTTTGAAACCCAAAATACACATTTTAGAATCAAAATAACAAATCCCCTTTTATACATTTTGAAACCCTAGATCTCAAAATCAAACCATTTAACAAAGTGACCAAAAATCTAGGTCAAAACCCATAAGAGTGAGTAGGAATCCCTACCTCAAAAGATGAAACCCAACGAAGGAGATGACGAAAATGAAGATGCTCCAAATCACAAATTTCTCGGATCAAAAGATAGCCCTCGACGATCAACAACTTTTTTTGTAAAGGCCAAATGTGAGGAAACAACTCCTACTAGATCAATACTTAGAGAGAAGTGGAGGTTTTAGAGAGAGAAGCTCTCAAATGGCGTTTTTGAAAAGTAAGAGAGAGAGTAAGGATGTAAAAAGTGACTTAAAAACGCCCAACTGCCTTCTGATATACGACAGGTCCTCTCGAGCAGAAAACACAACGCTCGAGCGTCAAGAACAAAATACTGAGTTCGCTCGAGCGCAAGAAGACCCGCTCAAGCTCCAAGACACAAGAATAAAGTACATCCACTCGAGCGTGAAAACCAGTCCGCTCGAGCGTAGATTTTCCGCTCCCAGAACTTACACCAAAAATGTACTACCCGCTCGAGCGCCAACAAGCCCGCTCGAGCGCGACCCGCTCGAGCGCAGGAAATCCGCTCGAGCGTAGAAATCACACATGCAGAAGTTTTGCAGAGCACGAAAATACTGGGAGTGTGCAATATCCACTCGAGCGCTAGACGACCCGCTCGAGCGGAACGACCAAAAACCTAGCAACAAGAAATTAGACCAAGGCTCAACGCACCTGCTCGAAACATGCCCAACACATCCTAAAACTCAATCAAATGGAATTAAAGGACGACAACAAGGTAGACACAAGTACCAACTCCACGGAACCGAGTCCGGAATACAATTGAACACTAAAGGGAATACCGGAATTGCTATAACCTTCCCCCCTTAAAGAATTTCGTCCCCGAAATTAAATACAAGTTTTTCAAAAACAAGTTTTCTCCATTTCCAACAATATTACAACATAATGTTAAACAATCCGACCCGTTACCGGTCAATCCCATATCTTTTCAAGAGACATTTCACATAATACATAACAACCTGCATTATCAACATGCATTCCTTTGAAATTTACCCATTTCAACTCATTTTCCACAATTCCTTAACATATGCAACATTAATATCATGCTTGCATTTTCACAATATACTCAACATGCACAACGTTAACACAGCTTCCATTTACCAAAACATTTACAAAGTTTTACAACTTAAGACATATATAATGTTCTTAAAGTTAAATATTATTACAAACGGATACTTTTCACGGACTTCCAACTCACGTTCCCAAGTGGCTTCCTCCACTCCGTGATGCTTTCACAAAACTTTTACCAAGGGAATGGTCTTGCCTTGCAAGACTTGATCCCGCCTATCCAAGACCCGAACCGGTCTCTCTTCATACGAGGCATCCTCATCTACCTCTAAGTCGGTCCAATCTAACACATGGGACGGATCCGGCTCATACTTCCGAAGCATACTCACATGAAACACGTCATGCACTCCGGACAACTGCGGTGGCAAAGCCAAACGATAAGCAACTTCCCCAATCGTCTCAAGGATCTCAAAGGGACCGATAAACCGAGAGGATAACATCCCACTCTTCCCAAACCTCATCAAACCTCGCCGATGTGATATTTTCAAGAAAACATGATCACCTACCTCAAACGCCAAAGGCCTCCTCCTACTAGTACTTTTGCAGGTGATCAAACTTCTAGAACTAAATATTCTCCGCTCGAGTGCACAAACGGCCGCTCGAGCGCACAAGCAACTTCGAAAGCATTTTTGCATTTTGCATTTTGCTTTTGGGGCGTTGCCCCTCAACCCCGCTTGGGCGCTGCCCTAGACCCATCAAGGGGAGCTGCCCCTTGGACCCCCACGAGCTGACCGGGCAACTCGATCCTCGACATAGTCAGCGATAAAACATCTTTACAAGGCGCAATTCGGGTTGGATTCGCATCTAAAACTCATTGCCTCACTGAAATAAAAGATCGAATACAATTACAACTGAAAGGAGTTTTGTCAAACGAGATTGCCAAGAATAAAAACCTAGCACACACTATTAGTAGATTAAATTTATATTCCAATAATATCTTCTAATGAAATGACCATTAAGGACAACATGAGGTGTATTCTATTCATTCAAAAATTTCATATTTAAAATATAAAATACTCTTCACATACCATCATTCCTATAGGGTTTAGAGTTTTAACATATAAATATTATATTTGTTTATCATCTTCACCATTGACATACACTTATGATATCATTCATTATTAATTGGCTCATTTCATTCTTTTCTCCATTATACTTATTTTTTAAACTTAAAACATTATTGCCTTTGAAAATTTAAGTTTTAAGAATATTGAAATCAATTAGTTTTGAATATTTGCATACCATGGATGACACTGAGATGGTTGGTTCCGATATAAACATTGAAAACGTTGATTTGAACATTGAAAATGTTAGTTTATGATAGTTTTTTTTTTTATTTTATTTATCTCGTTTGTATGTTGGAAAGATGAGTTTGTTCGTCGTGTTCGGATAATCAGAGTTGAACTTTTATACAATGTTCGATTATTTATATTTGAACAAAATAATTTTGTTCAAATTATTAAGATTGACCAAATATTAAATGTTCATACATAAAAAATTGAACATTCTAAATTAGTTCGGTTAAAATAAATTAAGTTTTTATTCAGTGTTTAGATGTAAATTTTTAAACACATTAAGTTTGTTCAACTTTGTATTTATGAACATGACTAATTTGATGAATTTAAAACGACGACGAGAGACTAGAGTTTAAGATCGACAATGAGGGGGGTGTTTGATAACATGATTCAACACTTAAAATTGAATGTAGTAAGTGATAATCAATTAAGTGTGTTTGATAATCACAATTGATATCACTTAAAAATTTAGGTGTCTCTTAAAATGTAGGCCAAAATTTTAAAAAAATTTAAGTCATATGAAACTTACTTAATTTTGGCTAAATTTATAAATACTAAACATAAGTATCAGTATACACTATTTTAAATTCACTACCAACATTGCCGCCGCCGCTACTACTACCGCCCCCACCATCGCCACCACTACCACCACTACCATGCCACCATCACTACCGTCGCCGTTGCCACCACCATTACCACTACCACCATCATCATGCCACTGCCATTACTACTACTAGCGCCATCACTACTGCTACTACCACTACCACTACCACTACCATTACCACTACCATCACCACTACCACCGCTACTGTCACCGTCACCACCACCATGATGCCACCGCCACCACAACCTTTACCACTATCACCATTACCATTGCTATTGTTGCCGCTACCACCACCATGATGCCCATCGCCGCTGCCGCCGCCACCACCACTACCAGTATAATAGACTGGAAAAATTATTTCTTTTCTGAAATATAGTTTTTCATTATTTGAAAAAAATGCTATTATATTGTGTTATAATGTTGAAAATTATGATAACTAAAAAGAATAGTTCTGAGACTCGTCCTACCCTTGTTATTGTCCCAACAATTGTGATGCCAACAGTGACTCCATCAGTATTGGTCAATCATGGAGAAAGGGAAAAAAAAAAAAAACACAAAAATTGTTATTTTATCGTACTACTTTAATTATGGTTCGAGATTCCCATGAAATTGTACTAGTACTGAGAGATAGAGAAACTGATTAACAAATTGTGGCTACAGTGGAAGCCTAGAAAACATGTAGACTTCCTATGTTGGAATTATATTCTCAATAGTCTCGCAAACACACTTTATAATGTATATTGCGTGCAGGAGACTACTAGAGAAGTGTGGGAATCTTTAGAACTAAAATATAAGAGAAAAAACATTGGCGCAAAGAAATTTGTTATTGGACGTTTTTTAGATTGTAAGATAGATGATTCCAAGACTGTTATTAGTCAAGTGCAAGACTTTCAGTTAATTCTCTACGAGATTCATGCTGAAGGAATGATTCTTAATGAATCCTTTCAAGTTGTGACAATTATTGAGAAGTTGCCGCCGGCGTGGAAGGATTTTAAGAATCATCTTAAGCATAAGTGCAAGGAGATGAAACTGGAGGAATTGATAGTGCGGCTCTTTATTGAGAAAGATAACCGCAGTTTCGACAAGAAGGTTGATAGTCACATCATGCAAGCCAAAGAGAATGTTGTGGAACGGGGACAATGTTCTAAATCCAACAACAGAAAGAGGAAGTATCTTGGAAAGAGTCCCAAGTAGGGCTTCCAAGAGTTGAACAACAAAAAGTTCAAAGGCAAGTGTTTTGCGTGCGGTAAAGATGGACATCGAGCGATGAATTTCCATCAGCACAAGGACAACGGAGGTTCTAGCAAGAGATCTGCACAAGCACATGTGACCGAAGTTGACAACCTTTCAAATAGGTTGGTATACATCAGTCCTTTTCATCCCCGAAATTGGTTACAAGTTTTCAAAATTGTAAATTTTCAATTACCAATAGTATTACAATTCAACATTTCATATCCTGACCCATTACCGGTCATCCCATCTCTATTCAAGAGGCAATTTACAATATGATACAACATGCATTATCAACATGCATCTCTTCGAAATTCAACAAGTCTCAATATACATGCCTTACAATTCCATAACATATTCAATGTTAATGATATATTTGCATTTCTACAAGACATTCAACATATACAATGTTAAATTAAACTTCCATTTTCAAGGCATATTCTATGATACTTTCATAAACCGAAACATATACAATATTTTACAACTTAAGACATATTCAATGTTCTTAAAGTTTATCAACACAACAAGATTTTCCAATACATGATTAGACATTAACGAACAAGTTCGAGTATTTCTCACGGACATCCAACTCACGTTCCTAAGTGGCTTCCTCAACCCCGTGATGTTTCCACAAGACTTTTACCAAGGGTATCGTCTTGCCTCGCAAGATTTGATCCCGCCTATCCAAGACCCTCACCGGTCTCTCCTCATACGAGATATCCTCATCAACCTCTAAGTTGGTCCAATCCAATACATGAGACAGATCCGGCTCGTACTTCCGAAGCATACTAACATGAAACACGTCATGCACTCCGGACAACTGTGGCGGCAAAGCTAAATGGTAGGCAACCTCGCCATTCCTCTCAAGGATCTGGAAAGGACCAATAAACCGAGGGGACAACTTCCCACTCTTACCAAACCTCATCAAATACCACCTAGGTGATATTTTCAGAAAGACATGATCACCCACCTCAAATGACAAAGGCCTCCTTCTACGGTCGACATAACTCTTTTGGCGACTCTGGGCTGTAACAAGCCTCCTACGGATAAGCTCAACTTTCTTCGTCGTTTCTCGCACCAACTCCGGGCCCAACAAAGGTGCATCACCCACCTCGGCTCAACAAACTGGAGACCTACACGGTCGGCCATACAAGGCCTCAAACGGTGCCATACCAATACTCGATTGGAAACTGTTGTTATAGGCAAACTCCACTAAGGGCAAGTGCCTTTCCCACGACCCACTAAAATCTAGGACACAGCCTAGAAGCATATCCTCAAGGATCTGAGTAGTACGCTCGGACTGCCTATCAGTCTGAGGATGGTAGGCCATGCTAAAGGTCAATCTAGTGCCCAAGGCACTCTGCAAACTCTGCCACAACCTAGTAGTAAAGTGTGGATCTCTATCTGAGACGATCGACACTGGGACCCCGTGCAACCTCACTATGTCCCGAATATACAAGTCGGCAAGATGATCTACCGAATCTGTCACGCGCATAGGGATAAAGTGCTCCACCATAGTCAACAGGTCTACAACCACCCAAATAGCATCACTACCCCGCTGAGTCCTCGGAAGACCTACAACGAAGTCCATCGTGACAGGCTCCCACTTCCACTCGGCAATAGGCAAGGGTTGCAACAAACTTGGTGGCCTCTGATGCTCGGCCTTCACTTGCTGACAAGTAAGGCATTTAGACACAAAAATTGCCACATCCTTCTTCATACCCCACCACCAAAACTGGCGACCCAAATCATGAAGCATCTTAGTGCCTCCCGGATGCACCGCAAGGCGTGAATGGTGAAACTCTCGGAGTACCTCCTTTCAGCAAGACTCCGGCACAAACAGACGGTCTCGGTACCTCACACTCAGGTCCAGATACACAGTCAAACCCTTCTCAACCTTCCCACTGGAGATCTTCTCCTGGAGGGATTCTACCTCAAGGTCACTCCCATGTGCCTCTAACACTCAATTCATAAGTGTAGGCTGCGCAACTACAGAAAACAAAGCCGCAGACTCGACAGATTCGCCCCGGTGCAAATCAAACTCGCCAAGTGCACCCAACATTTCCCACTCCCGGATGGCTATACAAGCTACATCACTAATGGATTTCCTGCTAAGGGCATCGGCCACAACATTGGCCTTCCCCGGATGGTAATGCAACTCGAAGTCGTAATCCTCAATAAACTCCATCCACCTCCTCTGCCTCAAATTGAAGTCTTTTTGTGTAAACAGATACTTCAAACTCTTATGATCCAAGAACACCTCGAATCTCTCACCATAAAGGTAGTGCCTCCAAATCTTCAAGGCAAAAATCACAGCTGCTAACTCTAGGTCATGTGTAGGGTAATTCCTCTCGTGTATTTTCAGCTGCCGCTAGCCATAGGCTACCACTTTTCCCTCTTGTATCAACACACAACCGAAACTCTCTCGTGAAGCATCACAATAAACTGCATAACCCAAACCTCTTTCTGGAATAATCAAAACTGGAGCGGTGGTGAGTCTAACCTTAAGTTATTGGAACGACTTTTCACAAGTCTCACTCCATACAAATTTGACCCCTTTCCGCGTCAATCTAGTCAAAGGCGAAGCTAGCCTGGAGAAATCTTTCACAAACCGACGGTAATAACCAGCCAATCCCAGAAAACTGCGGATCTCAAAAATACTCTTAGGTTGTGCCCAATCCTACGCTGCCTCAATCTTGGATGTATCAACAAACACCCCTTCCCCAGAGACTATATGGCCTATGAACTTAACCTCTCTTAGCCAGAACTCACACTTCCCAAACTTGGCATACAGCTTATGGGCTCTAAGAAATTCAAGCACCACTCTCAAGTGGTCCTCGTGCTCCTCCTCAGAAGGTGAATAAATCAGAATGTCGTCTATGAAGACGACCACAAAACGATCTAAGAACTCCCGGAATATCCCGTTCATCAAGTCCATAAACACTGCTGGTGCATTGGTGAGCCCAAAAGGCATCACCAGAAACTCATAATGGCCATACCGCGTACGGAATGCCGTCGTCGGGATATCTTCCTCCCTGATCCTCAACTGATGGTAACCCGATCTCAAGTCTATCTTAGAGAAACAACGGGACCCTTTCAACTGGTCAAACAAATCTTCAATACGAGGCATAGGGTAAGTGTTCTTAACCGTAGCCCGATTCAATTTCCGGTAGTCAATACAAAGTCTCAAAGCCCCATCTTTCTTTTTAACAAAGAGGGCTGGTGCTCCCCACGGCGAAGTACTAGGGTGAATAAAGCCCTTATCTAGCAACTCCTGGAGTTGAATCTTCAACTCACTCAATTCAGCTGGGGCAAAACGATATGGTGCCATGGAAATCGGTGCCGTGCCAAGCATTAAGTCAATAAAGAACTCGATCTCTCGATGAGGTGGTAAAATAACAAGATCCTCGGGAAAAATGTCCGAGTACTCACAAACCACTCTGGGTAACTCAATCTGGATCTCATCACACTCACTACTCATAAAGCTAGCGAGAACACCACTAAGCTCACTCCGCCCTCGCGGATCATACACTGGTGGCAAAACTCTACCAACTCGAGCCCTCAAGAAATGAAAATAATCCCCGCTCAAGGTACATATAGTGACCCTCTGGCGGTAATAATCAATAACAGCCCGGTATGACGATAACCAATCCATACCCAAAATCACATCAAAACCTGACATAGACATTACTACAAAGGAAAATGGAAGCCGGCGGTCGGCGACCTCTATATCACAACCTCTACACTCTTGTTTCAAAATCAACTCACCCCCAACAGGTGATACAACACAAATAGGAGAAGCTAACTGTGCAAACTCCAACCCCAAAACAGATGAAAATGCAGCAGATATAAAGGAATGGGATGCACCCCGTATCAATCAACACATTGGCAACCGAGTTGCAAAACAAAAAGGTACCTCTCACAACAGATGGAGCCGGTACAAGATCCTGCGCGGTAACAGCATACATGTGCCCCGAAGGTCTCTGGTCTACCTGCTCACCTCTCAGAGCATAAGACTGCTACATAGACTGAGACGATGAGGTTCCCTGATTGGCCCTCGTGGCCTGAACTGACTGAGCTGGCTGATGGCCTTGAGTCTGCCTCGAACCAGATGCACCAGATGTGCCACTCAACTGCGGGCAAAACCTCTTCAAGTGCCCTGCCTGACCACACTGGTAATAAGAGAGCGGTTGGCCTTTGCCCTAACTCTGGCTTTGAGGTCGAGCCGAAGATGAAGCTGCTCTCTGTCCTCCTCCCCTCTACGGGCAAGCTGGAGACTTG